TCTGTTCCCCTTCCCCCAATTCCCCAGTGCTGTTCCCATCCCCCAATTCCCCAATAAAAATCTTAAAAAAAAAAATCACCCAAAACTTCAGTGACTTAAAACTATAATTTTTAAATTTCTGTTTCTGTGGGTCAGGAATTTGGGAAGAGCTCAAGCTGGGCATTTTTGGCTGTGGTCTCTCAGGCAGCAGTCCAATGGTGGCTGAAGCTGAAACGGGCTGGGGTCATCTGGTGATGGTGGGCATCTCTCTTCATGTAGTGTCAAGGCTTCTCTGTGCACACTAGTTTGAATTTCCTCCGAGCATCACAGACAGGATAGCCCAACTACTTACTTTGTGACTCAGGGCTCCAGTGCAAATTTTCCAGCAAAAGATGATAAGGCCGTGTAGCCTCAGAAGTCATACAGATCACTTCATACACTGCTACCTTCTGTTGGTTATATGTGAATCACAGGCCCGTCTAGGGAAGGGGAATTAGATTCTACCTATTGATGGGGCAGTGGCAAAATTACTTATAGAACAGCATGTGGGATGCAGCATATTGTGGAAATCTTTGGAAAATACACTGCCACAGTGATCCAAATGAAATGTTGATGAGAGGGAGGCCAGAGAAAGACAAGAGAGGTTGTCATGACTCATCAGATTAACATAATCTAAGTAAACCTGTCAGGAGGGACACACTAAACACCAGGACTGTAGATGTGTTAACTGTGTAACAATTCCAGTTATTATCAGACTCTTGTATAAACAATCCCTGGCCTTATGGTGTTGGTACAGAGTTCATTTCAGCCAAAGGAAGAAGAGGATGCCAGCTCCCCACCCCCTAAATGAAAATAAAATCAGTTTCAGGACAAACCTGAAAACAATTTTCTCACCGAAAATAAGTGCATGTGCCACCTGGTGGTGAGACAGTCAAATGTGCATTCTATCCTGTTAACTGCATTTATTGAATCGTCATTAGAATATATATAGTATTTATCAAAAGGCACCAATTCTAACATGGATAAGTGTATCTCTCCAAACAGCCACAGTACAAACACAGGGAGGGAAATGACATAATAAAAAGGAAGGAATAGCAACCACAGGGCATCCACATTGGAGTGTCCAGATGAGTGAAATCAGTCTCCTTTTCATGAATACTAAATCCCCTTGTCCTCTGTCATATTGGCTTTTTATGCACCTTCAAGTCGGTGTGGAGGGTTTGGGGAAAGAATAAGTTAAGGAAGGAAAGATTTGCTATTACAGTTGGGGGGTAAGGGAGGGAGGTAGCCAAATGATGACTGTAGTGATCCAGAAGTGTATACACTCACCTAATTTGTTCATTGTCCCAGTTCTTCTGGACTTGCTTGATAATTTATTATAGCAAAATCATGACAGCCTATTTAGAATATAGGAATCATCCATATGGTCAGATTGACAATTCCTCTTTCTGGGGGGCACAAGGGGTCTGTGGTGGTCTGCTAGAATCATATCCAAATAGTAATGGCTACCACTTTGAAGTGCTTACTGTCCATCAGGCATTATGCTCATCACTTTACAGCTCGTTTAATCCACATAACTATGATATGTAAAATCCATCCCCATTTTACAAATGAAGGAACTGCATTTTAAGAAGTTACATAACCTGACCCACCATATACTATTTTAAATGGTGGAGCCAGGATTCACCACATGGCCAAAAAACCCTCTTAATGGCGCTATATTTACCAGTGGCTTGATGTAAAGATCTTTGAAATCTATTTCTATTTTTTTCCACCTCTTAAAATAAGTTTGAAAGCTGCACTCTCCACATTGATATAGCATTAGTGGCTGCTCAAAACTTGCTTTATTCTTTATGAGGCCCTCTCCTGTAACTGCTCTCAAAGAGGTTCATCCTTTTCATTCCCTCTGAGGTTCTTCTCTTAGATACCAACCGCCGGGCCTTTGCTCTTGAATGCTGAGCCCATTTCCACAGCTGCACACCTCCCCTTCTCCCTATCCACCCTTTCTTCATTGTAAGCCCTCTCTTAGCTTTATACTCCAGGGGACTTCGCCTCCTTCAGGACCCAGCCTTGGGGAATAGTTTAGGGAGGCGAGAGTGCCCTGTTATTCCAATCAACCCACCACCCAACCAACACCGCCTGCCCTCCATCTCCTGCCCTGAGCAGGGTTAGGACTGCCAGATGTAGCAAGTCAAGTTACAGGGCACTCGAATTTGAATTTCGATATGTCTCTTACAGTAAAAACCTATTCGCTGTTTCTGTGAAATTCCAATTTAACTGGAATCCTGTATTTCATCTAGCAACCCTAGGTAGGCTAGCATGGGAAAGGGAGGAGCTTTGAAAATTTGCATCACGATGGGCCACTGGAAGGAGCGCCTTTGGGCCTTTCTGACCTCGGAACGAAGCGCAGGCCCGGCACCGTGTGCTGCCAGCACCCAGGCCCCGACTTGCGCGTGAAGGAGGGCTACGGGTCTCGGCTGGGACCCCGCCCAAGACTTGGGGTTCAGGGAAATTCGGAATGATCTGAAATATCGCGTTTGATTCCTAAAGAGCCCCGAAACCACAGCGGAGGCCACAGGCCAGAGACAGTCCGCCCGGCTCCAAGATGGCGTCCGCGGCGGCTGCCAGCTGCCAAGATGGCGGCGTGGGGGCGGCGCCCGCGCCCGGGGCTGTCCTCTCCCGGTATTCCTCCGGCTGGAAGCGCGATTCGCGTTGCCGTGCACCGGTTGCCTTTTGGCCCAGGTGGTGGTCCCGGCCGCTTCCCGCCCCGCCATGTGGCTCCTCGGCTGGTGGCAGGTACTGCTGTGGATGCTGGGGCCTCCCGCCCGCGGCCTGGAGGGTGAGTGGGGGCACGGCCCTGGCTGGGGGCGGCGGGCGGCGGTGCGCGAAATGACGGGGCGACGTGAAGATCCTCCCGGGCAACGCTATTACCTGCGTGAAGGCCCGCGACGCGCGAGCTTCTGGCTGGCACCTCTCCCCCGCGTTGTCCCGACCTCTTTCCCCTGGTGGTCCCCACTCTGGTCCGCGATGGGGGGGCGGGAGCCCCGACTATGGCCCGCCACTTTCAGGCCCCCTCACCAGGCGACTTGTCAGATGGGAGTGACCGTGTATTAGCCCTCACTGCGGCATTTTGTTGCTGTGGTGAACACTTTGTTATTAATGATAATAATCATAGCGAATAGCCGACATTTATGCTGCCCTTATTAGGTGCCAGGAACTGTGGGTAGCGCTTTCCATCCTTATCTCATTTAGTCCTCCCACCGATCCTGTGAGGTAGGTTCCATGAGTATCTCCCTTTTACAGATGAAGATGCTGAGCTCAGAGAGGCCAAGTAACCTGCCTGAGTTCGCCCTTCTGGCAAATGGCAGAGCCTGACTCTATGACTGCAAAGCCCACGCTTTACTTTGCACCCTTTCTTAAGAGGGCCACTCTTGCTCAGATGCCTGTATCTAGGACAGATGAGAAAAGCATAGGGGACCCCCAGGGTAACCCGCTGCTGGCCAGGGCTGGCAGGCTCTCAGAGCCCCCTCAGGTGCGGAAGGCAGCCACCCTGGAGGCAAGGCTGGGTCCAGGAGTGGAGGAGGCCTTATTCTCATTGCTCCTTCACCCCACATCTAGTCCTGTTAAAGTCACATCACACCTTTTGGTCTCGCTTGTCATTCAGAACAGGAATAGGCAGGACTTTCCTCTCCTTGGGTGCCCTGGAAGGAAGGCAGGTCTGCTGAGCAGGGAGACGGCTGAGGAATAGAAACACTATTACCATTAATGAAAGCACTATGTGCCAACCGCTGTGCTTAGTGCTTTACGAGCATCATCTCATTTAATCTTTAAATGCTTATGAAGTAGATGTCGTCATCGTCACCATTTTTATAGATGAGTAAACCGAGACTCAGCATCAAAAAGTCTTTTTGCCAATGTCAAAGAGCCAGAAGTTGAGGAGTTGTGATTCAAGCTCATGTCTGCCGGCTTTCACAGTCAAACCTCTGTACTCCACTTTGGTCACTACACTTAACAACCAGCTGCAGAGAGGGGGACAGCATGTACTGGATAGCTTCTGTTTGTCTCCCAGATTACACTCACGCCTTCCCCACCCTGCTCTGCCCTGAGTGGCTGCCTTGTATGAAGCAACAGCTCCTTCCTTCTGGTTTCCCGTGGGTTGGAATGAGGGGAGAGTGAGGTCAGCTCCCTCCCTCAGGGGTCATCACAGGTTGGCTGTGTCCCTCCACTGAAAGTGACAGCTATTAGGAGGCTGTCCTCTCTGCTTCAAGGTTCTGTGACTGTCTCTGCCTCTGGCCTCTTAAGGTCTGTGAGTGTTCTTTGGCTGGCCCTCTGCTGTTACTGGCCCTGGAATGCCTTACCTTTGCTTTTGTTTTCTCTACACCCAGCCCACATGTTGGTGGTCCCTTTATTAAGCTCTCCTCGAATTGCCCAAGTTGAATGTGCCCTGTGTCCCTGCTGATTCAGGAGATGGACTTGCTGCAGTCAGTGTGAGTCTACACGGCAGTCAGTCACACTCATGCAGACCTGAGGATAACACCAGCCACAGGGTGGGTCACTGGTCATCATGGCCAGGCCATGAATGGGCTGAAGACAGAGGAACCTTCACCAGCTGGTTCCTTTTCAGGGTGGCTGAAAATCCAAGGCTTTTTTTTTGCGGAGGACACCACCGGCAGGTTAGCAACTGGAGGTGGCAGTGCCGTACAGGTGTCAAGGAACAGGAACCAACTCCTGGTTTCAACACCCCCACGCCCATCTTCACTAGCCAGTCAACTAGCAGATTCTTACTGAGCACCCATCATATGCCACACATAGTGCTGGGCACTGATGGTACAGTGGAGAACCCGGCAGAGAAACATGCCGGCCCGCTTGCCTGAGGGGGAGAGCAGGCATTAAATGACTACAAATAATTAAGTAAATTACAATAGTGAAAAATGCTTCAAGGAGAGTTCCTGGGTATTACTGGATGCTGTAAGGGGAGGCCCCTCTGGTCTGAGGGTCAGAGAAGGTGAAGTTCACCTTACAGAGGTGAAGATGAGGGTGAGATCTGAAGGATGAGTCAGATTAGGCAGAAGAAGAGGGGGTGGAGGGAGGAGAAACAGACCTCAGGACAGATCTGAGGTGAGTAGGGGAGAGCATGAGTGATTAGGGACCAGAAATGTCTGGTGGCACCAGTAGAGAGTGTAGGCAGAGGCCATATCACGAGAGGCCTGGTATCCGTGCAACAGAATGCAGACTTACTCATAGGGCTAGGGGAGGCCACTGAACGGGTGTTAGCAGGAGTGACATCAGATTTGCCTGTAACTTTTAGTTTTACTTGGGTTGCTGTGAGGAGCAGGGCCGAGGCGGGTGGGGGCGGGGGGGAATAGAGGCCCAACCAGGGAGATCAGTTAGGTGGCCACAACAATTGTCCAGGTCAGAGATGGCTGTGGCCTGGGCTGAGGGTTGTGAGTGGGGCTACGAGAAGTGGATGGATCCAGAATGCATTTAGCAGAGGAATGAATAGAACTTAGTTGTGGTGCCCACCCATCTCTTTAAATTATAAACGTCAGTCATATCATTATCATCATCATCGTCATTGTCATCACCGTCACTGCAGCCGTTTATGGAATGCTGCTATGTGCCAGGGACCATATACATCTTTTTCTCATTTAATCTGCACAGTAGCCCTGTGCATTCCTTCATTTCGTTGGTATTTTCTCCACTTGTTAGATGAGCACACTGAGTATTTCCAATGGAAAGTATGGGTTGCTGCCCCTCCAGATCCTCGCTGATTTTGGTCCTCCTGCATTTGGCTCCCCTGCCACAGAAACCATTGTGAAAAAACTTGCGGCAGGTAGAGAGCCTTCTGAGAAAAGCTGGAATGGTGTGAAGGAGCTGACTTAGGCTCCGTGGCAGAGTTGGCATGGTGCTCCCACCCTTGTTCTCCAAACGTCTTCCTTGTTGCCAATAATGCAATAATTTTCACTTTATGCATGGCTCAAGCAATAATCAGTTTGTTTAGGTTAAGAAGCAATCTCTTTTAAAAGATGCATTACTGTGGGAGGGTTCAATGGCTCTCATGTGGTAGGTCATTTCTATCTTGGTGTGGGATAATTGAAAGTTTTGTTTCTTCCCAATACCTAAATGAAAACAATGGTACCTGAGGCCATACAAATTTTTGTGTTCCTAACTGTACTGTCTAGTTAAATATCTTCACAGGAGGGAAAAAATATACGCCTGAACTTAAAATACCAACCCCCTGCATCACTCGGACTCCCTTTTGATTTTTTTATGGGGGACATCCATCCATTGTTGCATGAGGGTGATCAGAGAGAAGCAGATTCTAATTTGTGCCCTGGTTTTTTTTTCTCCTGACACTCTTGTAGGCTTTTAGCTTTCTCCATTTACTTATTGGCCCTAGAATGTTCATTAGGTTCAGAGAAAGTAGATCTTTGTGGAGCTGGGGCATTTGGGAGTAGGGTTGGTTCCCAAATCTGGCACCCTTTGTTCTTCTCCAGACTTCTGGCCTCTCTGACTTCATTCCCTGCTCTGTCTTGAGGATGACCCAGAAAACATATTTGTTTTTCTATACATGCTCATCAACCAAAGGCTGCAGAAAGACCTGCAATGCAATGTGATCCTACCCCCACCAAATTGGCAGAGCTCTCTGCCCAGACACTGAGCACATTCTCTAGGTCATAGTCATAGAAGTGCTTGACCCTCTTCTGTCAAGGACTCATCTTGCTGCCCACGCCCTGTACTCCGCCATATCTAACATATATTGTCACTTCTCTCTCCTTATCTGCTTTCCCATCTGCTTTACATATCCTTAAGTTTCTTCTATGTCTTAAAAGCCAAAACAGAAACCTCTCTTAATCCTTTGTCTCCCCATTGCAGGTACCCCATCTTTGTTGTCTTTTTTGTAGGTAGACTTTCAGAAGAATTGTATGTATTTACCCATGTAGTTAATCATTTCTGGTGTTCTTCATTCTTCTGTGTGGATCCATATTTTCATCTGGTATCATTTTTCTTCTGCCTGAGGAATTCTTGTCTTGTGGGCCCGCTGGTGATGATTTTTTTTTTTTTTTAAGATTTTATTGGGGAATTGGGGAAAGGGAACAGACAAGTTGCTGTCCTTTTGTTCTTCAGTCTAGTTGTGGAGGACGTTGCTTCACTGGCCCATGTTGGTATTGTGATCATTGTGCTCTTCCTGGCTGAGACAAATTGGTTGCTGGCCACTGGATGGCCGCTCAGGGAGGCTCACAGCAGCTCATGCCAGCTGCCAGCCGCTCATGCTGGCTGCCAGCACGCACGGTAGCTTACAGCAGGTCACTGCAGCCCCACTGCAGCCTATGCCATCACTGGCGACTCATACAGCCCAGCTCCAGGTTGAGCTGTTGTTCACCATCTTAGCTGTAGAGGGCGCAGCGTCACTGGCCTATGTGGGATCCGAACCAGAGGTCCTGCTGCTCAGAGCTTGCGCTCCCAAGCCAACTCTTATCCAACGAGCCACTCGGCTGGCCCTGTTGATGAATTCTTTCAGCTTTTGTATGTCTAAGAAAGTATTTACTTTGCCATTGTTTTTGCTGGGTAGAGAATTCTAGGTTTATAATTTTTTCCCTCTTTAAAGATGCTCTTCTTGCTTTCATTGTTTTCAATAAGAAATCTGCTATCATCCTTATCTTTGTTCCTCTGTACATAATGTGTTTTTCTCTCTCTGCTTTTAAGATTTTTCTCTTTATCACTGGTTTTGAGCAATTTGATTATGATGTGCAATGGTATAGTTTGTTGAGCTTGGGATTTGTTGAGCTTCTTGGATCTATGGATTAATAGTTTTTTTATCAAATTTGGAAAGTTTTCAGTTATTCCTTTAAATACTCCTGTCCCCCTTTCTTTTTACTCTTTTTTTTTTTTTTTTGGTTCAGCTCGGGCTGGACTCGAACCGCTGTTGCTCAGAGCTCAAACTCTTGAGCGAGCTCTTAACCAACTGAGCCACTCGGCCGGCCCCTTTTTACTCTCTTTTGGATACCATAATTGTCTGTACTTTAGGCCACTTGAAATTGTCCCACAGCTCACTAATGCTCTTAATTTTTTTGGATACTTTTTTCATTGTATTGTTTTGGATAGTTTCTATTGCTGTGCCTTCAAATTCACTACTCTTTTCTTCTGTAATGTTTAATCTGCCATTAATCCCATCCAGTGCAGTTTTCATTGCAGACATTGTGGTTTTCATTGCTAGAAGTACAATTTGGATGATCTATTTATCTATCTATCTATCTTATATTTCTATAGCTACTTTTGAACATGTTAATATGGTTATGATTACTGTTTTAATATCCTTTTCTAATAATTCTGACATTTGTGCAAATTCTGCTCAGTTTCAATTGCTTGATTATTCTTCTCACTATGGGTCATATTTTCCTGCTTCTTTGCATGCCTGGAGAGCTTTGATTGGATGCCAGACATGCATTTCACTTGGATGACTGCTGGATATTTTCGTATTCCTGTAGATATTCTTGAACTCTGTTCTGGGATATTCTGGGATACAGTTAAGTTCGACCACTGAAAGTAAAACTGCTGAAAACGATTTGATCCTTTTAAGGTTTGCTAGATGGGAACAGAGCTGTACTTACTCCATGGTTAATTTTGCTCCATTACTGGAGCAAGTCCTTTTTGTGTACTGTACCCAGTGCCACACAAAATATGAGGTTTTCCAGTCTAGCTGGTGGGAACAGGTACTATTTTTAGCTCTGTGTGAGTGGATACTCTTGGGTATCATTGCCTCTAATCCTTCTGGGTAGTTCTTTCCCTGGCTTTGGGTATTTTACTCACATTCTTGTGCTGAACAGTATACTGGATGGGGGCCCCTAGCAAATCTCTGGTGTCCTCGCTGTACAGCTCGCCCATCTCCTGTATTGTGTTCTGCAAACTTTAGCTTCCTTGGTCTTCCTGGACCCTCAGCTCCATCTTCTTAACTTGCTGAATCTGTTGGGCTCTGCCTGGGTTCCCCCTCCCTGAGCCACAGTGCGAACTCCCTCAGCTAGAGCAATTGTAGAGCTCTCCTCATTTGCTTGCTGTTTCTCAGGGGTCATTGTCCTTCACTGCCTGATTGATAGCCTCCTGAATCTGTTGTTTCACACATTTGGCTGTCTTTTGGTTTTGCTTTCAAGAGGGAGGGTAAATCTGGTCCTTGTTAGTCCATCTTAGCCAAAAGCAGAATTCCCAGAGGAAGTTTTTGAATTGCTGAATGAGCCTGCAGATCTCTATGGGCATATTCTTTGAGATCTTCTACGAATGTGCATAGCTTATGAAGCTCCCAGACCCTTCCCCAACTCTGAAGTTAGTTGATTGTTCATGCTCTGATGACATGCTGGTGGCTTGGCAGAGTTCATTACCCAGCTGTTGGCTCCCCAGCCACATGGTGAGCTTGTGTGAGTGTAGCTGGGCTCACTAGTTTCCCCTAGTCAGTGCCTGGCACAGAGTCTGGCAGCTGCTGTTGAGTTAATGAGAGCTGGAGGGCAGGAGTCTTTGTGACAGAGATGAGTGGAGATTGCTAAATGGACACAGGAGACTGCCTAGGACTCTTCCCTTATCTGAGCATTTTGCCTAAGCCCTATCTAGTGGATACAAAGTGGGAGGCGAGTCCTTTTCTCCCTGCTACTGCTCCTGCACTGTTGGGCACTCCTAGGCCTGGCTTTGCTGCTTGCTAGCTGTGTGCTATTGGGCATTATGCTGAACCTCTAAGTGCCTCAGCTTGGTCATCTATGAAGTGGGAGTGATAACCCTTGTCCTGTCCATCTCACAGAACTGTTATAATGTGTGCAAAGCTGCTTTGCCATAGTAGAATCTTCCATAAAGCCATCATTATCTTGGATATTCTCATCAAACAAGTGAAAATTTTAAAATGTTGGTATTATATTTTCTCAATTGGATGTCTGCACAGGAATGTTTTTGCTTATAATCTACATGGCAAGCAGTGGGCTTTGCTTGAAGCTATGTATTTATCCACTTATTTATTTGGCATTCATTAATTTAGTGTCTCCTTGTGACCCTCTTTATGACCTGGAGAATCATGGGTGACTCTGTGATTGCTTCATGGGAAGGATAATATCTTTCTCTGTAGAGGAAAATTTCATATTTGGGGAGAACTGTAATTCTTTGGGGTTCATTTATTTGGAAGTCAAATATGATTGTGAATATGCTGGCCTGTTTCAGTTGCAGAGGAGAGAGGTCACTTATGGTCAGGGGAGCAGCCTGCGCGCCCTCTCCACGTGGGGGCAGTGTACACGAGTGAAGAGCCTTCACATGGCCCGATGGGCCAGGACACGTCAGCAGAAGAGGCCGAGGCAGTGTTGGGGCTGGACACTGAAGGCGACCACATGGTGATGTTGTCTGTTATTCCCGGGGAAGCCGAGGACAAACTGAGCTCAGAGCCCAGCGGCGGCACCTGCGGGGCCGGAGGGGACGAGGACTCGCGGTGTGACCTCGGAGGGAGCCTCTTCTCTCTGGGCAGCGCTGGAGTGAACTTCCGGGATAGAGAAGAGGAGGATTACACGGAGCCGGAAGTGGCGGAATCTGACGCGGCCCCCACGGAGGACTCCAATCACACCGACAGTCAGAAATCCCCCAAGGTGAACTGCGAGGAGAGAAACGTCACGGGACTAGAAAATTTCACCCTGAAAATTTTAAATATGTCACAGGTAAGAAAAAATGAGTTTATGCTTTTCTCCTGTTCAGCACACTGATTTTATTGTTTAATAATCAACTTTCAAATGGAGGGTCTAATCTTGATCATCTTGTGAGATAGCGTACAGTGGCTGCATCAGTGAAAATGGACTTTGCTCTCTGTGATGTTTGTAGGGAAAGGGGGAGCTATAACTAGTGTCTATTATGCTTTTGGGGCAGCTTCTACCTCATCATCCGTGGGGTAATCTCACCACCAAGCCTCATGGTAAAAATCCCGGTGGACACATAGATGCTTGGCATCAAAATCGTACCAGAAGCCATGTAAAAATATCTGATTTACTCAAAGTGTATTAGCATTGTTTAGACTAGTAATGCCCTTGGGCAGTATGTTATATTGATGTAAAGTTTCTTTCCTCCAAAGAGTGTGTGAATCTAGTGTTTACTCTGAAGTGACAGCTGAGACAATTGTCCCAAACCCAGCCATGTTTTTCCAGCTAGCTGGACAAATGGTGACTCCAAAGAGACTACTGGGATAATGACTAATAGTTTCTGTAGGATTGTTAAGCCAGAGAACAAGATGAATGCAGACTTCATATGTAAGAGGAGAAATCCGAACTCTGAAAGCTGTGATTGCTTATTTTTATTTTTAAAAATTTTATTGGGGAACACTGTGTTTTCCCAGGACCCATCAGCTCCAAGTCAGTGGCCCATGTGGGGATCGAACCGGCAACCTTGTTGTTATGAACCTGCGCTCTAACCATTTGAGCTAATCGGCTGCCCCCTGTGATTGCTTATTTTAAATGAGGGCAGGTATGGTACGTCCTCAGTGCCTGGTAAACTCTGTGCCTCAGCTCTGTGGGACTTGTCTCACAAATATCGCAGACCTGATCAGGAGAGAGCAGTGTAAGCTGTCCGAGTTAGGGTGGTGGCAGGCATGGTGCACCCTTGACTTGAACTAACCTTTGGCCGAATACATTGATCTGACTGCTTAGTACAGACTTGGATCTACTGAGATGGTGGTGGGGGGCCTGAGATCAGCCTGCTTTAATAATGCCATTAGACTATGTGAGAGGCACAGTTCAAAGGTTGGGACCGTGGCCTGTACCCTGTGAGCACCTAGTATTTCAATGGATAAATTATGAAAAATATGAAAATTGCTTTATAGTAATATTCGGAACGCTGAGAGGAAAGTTTATAACTTGTCATTTGATAGTACTTTTCTGCTGATTGGTGGATTCATATGGTTCAGAATCCAAAAGGTTCTTAAGGGGATACACACAGTCTCCCTCCTACCCCTGCCCCTACCCCCTGTTCTGGAGGCAGCAGTGTTTCCTTTTCTTTGGGGGTATCCTCCCAGAAAAACGTACACTTGCTGCTGACTTTAACACTTATTTCTTTTACTACAGGACCTTATGGATTTCCTCAACCCCAATGGTAGTGACTGCACGCTAGTCCTGTTCTACACCCCGTGGTGCCGATTCTCTGCCAGTTTGGCCCCTCATTTTAATTCTCTGCCCCGGGCATTTCCAGCTCTTCACTTTTTGGCACTGGATGCATCTCAGCACAGCAGGTATCTTCCCTTTGTGGGGTTTTCATCTCATCCTTGGGAATGATGGCGGCAGTTATTTGGAGGTCCTAATTCGTTAAGTGAAAAGCAGAGGTGGGCATGAGCTTCGCAAAGGGCTTGAAAGAAGGGAAAGGTGGGTATGAGCGAGTGGTGGGGCGGGGCAAAAGCCTGAGGAGGCTGATGGCTCACTTTCTGGAGGCCCCTTAAGTAGAAAGAAGACTGTTCTCTGTGTGATGGAATTTAAAGGTGGCTCTGCCTGATGGCAGGGGATGGGCCAGAGAACTTTCTAGGGTCCTGGCAAAATTAGTGTCATGAATAGGATCTTCCTTTGTGACTTGCATCTGCAGTTTAGGTCCCCACCCCTGGCAGCCTAACTCTCGGCACCCGCCTTTCTGTATTTACTTAGGATTTCTTTCTTCTTCTACTTATTTTTCTTTCCTTCTTTTCCTCTTTCCTTCTTTCTTACATTTATTCTTGCATGAGTATTCCTTAGTAGACATTTAATAAGTTAACTTAATGCATGAATTTAGCCATTTAAAATGACGTTTACCTTTGTTTTATATTTCCTTTACACTGTTCAGTGGGCTTTTGTCTTTTTTAAATGTTCAATAAGGTAAATTACTGAGAACTTTGTTCAGATATTGCATGTTTCCGCTAAGTGCTATGACTGTACCTGGGTTATAAACTGTGCGCTCCCCTCCTCTTCTAAATCAGAGGCTCCTTAGCAGGTTACAGTAGGATGTGTGTGAATGAATTTTGAAAGTCTGCACAATGGTTAAGTTGGTGGTAAAAAATGAAGTTGAGTAAAAGTTTATTCATTTGTGCCCCACCGATTTTTAGTGTGGGAAAGGTAACAGCCAGTGTTTACCTGACTTTATGAAGTAAGAAACTGCCCAACAAATTAGTAATTCTCACAAGGGTTTCAAGGAAATATCCAAGTGGCCTGGCCCAAAGGAACAGACTGGTGGAAGGGACAGTCCAGGTCAATGTACAGCTTTGACCGGGCCCCGACTGCCCCCAAGCCGGCTCCCAGCACCTGCTCAGCACTCTTTGGTTTTGGGTCTGGTACTATCACCCCCACTCCCACCCGCCATTCCCACCAGGCTTTTATCATCTGCTTTGTTCCACGCCCCCTTCTCAGTGCCTGGTGTGGCCTTACTTTTGGAGAATAGGGGATACTTGTTCTTATTATATGGTGTGGGACATGTGTTTGCCTCATATGTAAATACTTAAATTACAGCATGTTTACAAAAGAAAACAAATCTTGATTATCCACTGTTACCATTTTTCTAATGGGGGAAACCGAGGCTTCGGCAGGTTAAGTAATCTGCCCAAAGGTCTCACAGCTGGTTCAGTGGCCGAACTGAGGCCTGAACCCAGAGTGATTTGACTTGGAGCTTCTACCGCTGCTCTTTGTTATTCCAAGGCGAAACAAAACCGCTCAGGGCGCAGTACTTCTGAATCATCCTGCCCTAATTGTGAACTTCCTGGTGTGTTTGTTAGGCCAGAGACTCCTTTGTGCCAGCTTACCAAATTGATTGCTTACCATAAGTTGAATCTTTTATGAGGGATGGAGATGTACATTCTAGAGTGTTTGACGTGTCTTCTGTCAAGTAAATTGACACAGTGTGCTTTGTCCATGAGTTAGAATTTTCTGGTCTGGTGTATTTTGGCAGTTAGGAACGTTAAGTAGTGGAATAATTGTGTCCTGGGTAGTTTCATGTTGTAATAAAAAGCAACTCAGCAGAACAGGAGTGCCCCAACTCTGACCCATAGGAGGGAGATCAGAAATAACAAGCCTACAGTTTGAACATCAGAAACCTCCGTAGGTCACACAAAACAGATCCTTTCTCGTTTTATTGCCACCCATTCTGATATGGTAATTGTGTGAGAAAGCCCACTATTAATTCAGGTTTTCTGACTTTCTCTTGTAGCCTTTCTACCAGGTTTGGCACCGTAGCTGTTCCTAATATCTTGTTATTTCAAGGAGCTAAACCAATGGCTAGATTTAATCATACAGACCGAACATTGGAAACACTGAAAATCTTCATTTTTAACCAGACAGGTATGTAGAAATAATACACTGTAGAAGAAGACTCTTCATTGCGAGGGGTATGTGCTTTCTGTGGGTTCTGATCTGTTATTATACTTAAATGAAGGATTCAAGATAGCTTTGAGATGTAAAACTTATTTTCTAATGAACTGTTATGAGCCTGTTAAATGTCTCCCAATCAGTAGCATCCATAACATGAATAGGTAATTTTAATATGATTAAAGATACTTTTTGTTTTTTAAAGATAGCTTTATTAAGATATAATTAACATACCATACACCTGTGGATACCTTTTTACATACATTTTTCATTTCAGTATATTATTTATACAAAAATATGCATCAGTCATATTTTCACAAAGTGAACACCTTGGGTAACCAGTACTCAGATCCAGAAAGAGAACATTACCAGCCCCCCTCCAGCACTAGGCTCCTGCCCTCCCCAAGGATGACCACCATCATGACTCCTAACACCATGGCAACTCAGCAGAACAGGAATGTCCCCAATCATGACCCATAGTGTTACCTGTTTTTGAACTTCATATTAATGGAGACAAAGTATGAATTGTTTGTGTCTGGCTTATTTCACTCACCATTGTTATCAGTGGGATTCATCAGCATTGTTGAGTATGGTTGTGTTTTGTCTTTTGTTGCTATATGGTATTCTACTTATTGATCCATTTGCAGATGATATTCTAATTCCCTATTTGCCAAACCAGATGGCCTTATTTTTTACTCT